TTTTTTTTTTTTTTTTCTTTAGGGCTTTTTAATGTTTTCTCACCATTTAACAACATCCTGGGGAGTGGAAATTACAGTTTAGAATCTGGAAGTGACCAGTTGGGATGGGTTTAACGGGCAGCTGCTGGGGGCTGCGGGACCCCACCCGACAGCTCCCCCACCTAAAGGGCTAACAGCTACGAGGCACCGGAGCCCAGAGTGCACGCAAGGCAGGGACTAAGTTAGTGTCTTTCAGAGTCAGTGTCTGGCAAAAACAGAGGCGGGGGTGGAGACACCCACCAAGCCCTTGGTCAGAACCCTCGTTTCAATTCACTGTACCCGTGCCACCTTCACCTTCACCCCATCAGCTATAGTCAGGAGGACCCAGGCCAACCTGCTCCCAGGTCAGAGGAGTCACCTGGTATTCATGCCCAAGCTTCCACTCATGTTCCTCAGGCCTGAGTGGCAGGAGGAACCCCCCCACCCCACCCCCGAAACGCAGACTTCAGAGAAACTGAAAGCACCACCTTTGTTCCTTGTGACAATTGGAACACACTGACCCAGAACTGTCTGCTTCCTCTCTAAAATTCAGCGTCCTGGCGGTTTATTTGCTTTTGCTCCTCTTTGTGGGGGCCCTTGTCTTCAAAAGTGGGAGGAAACGGGTTCAGTCAGCAGAGAAACCTTGAAAAATAAGTACGGGGTTGTCAGTTTGAGGGTGTAGGGTAGAGGGGGAGCAACCTAATCAAATGAAGCTTATTTACCCCCACGGGAAAGATATATTCTTGGGGAGTAAGAATAAAAAAAGCCAGAATGTCTTCTTCCACACTGGCCTTGCTCAGTTGTGAGCAGGTATGGAGAAGAGGTCAGATGCACACAGAGACCATCACCCAGCCAGGTAACACCCAGTGCTGGGTATCAATATCAAGGCTTCCTAAAAGGACTGATTTTTCTTCTGGCGGCAGACCTATGGATACTTCCTGATATTGCTCTAGAAGGATTTAAAAACAACAATAAAGCACAAACAAACCTATAGGGCGGAGCCAGCGCCCTGGCCCTGTGACTAGGGTTATTCACAGAAGGCTCCTTCCCAAACCAGAGAGCCTGGGGCCTTGCCTGTGACCCCAATCCTGTCCACACACCCCTGACAGCGTTCTTATTTAGTCTACACATTTGGGGCTGGCTGCTGGGTCCTATTAGCTCCCAGGGGCTGCAGGAAACTGGATAGAGAAGTGGGGGACCAAGAAGGGAGCCCCACTCCTTCCTCCTGCTGCACACGCTTGGACCAGGCACAGTGCAGAAAAGAGAGCCGCGAGTCCTTAACCCTGGCACTGAGACTGCCTCTGTGCTCACCTGTGACTTCAAGGTAGCAGAACTCAGGTGGCCACCCGGTCCCCAGTTAAGAGACGGCAGGCCCAGAGAGGGCAGCCAATTCTGCTGTGGGCGTGTAACCCCAGTCAGACAAAATGAGGGGAGACTACAGCGGGCAGTGAAATCAGCTGGTCAGTCAGTCCCCATGCCAATGCCCTGAGTCCCCTCAGGCCAGGCCAGGATCCCGGCCCATTAAGGTCCAGCTGTCTTGGTGGAAGATGAGTGGGTGGCACAGGACGGAGAGGCGGCCAGCAGCCAGGGGAGCCTCGGGTCCTCACACTCGGATCTCATCCTCCTCCTCCTCGTCTATGAAGGAGAACTCCTTGTCGGGCTGCCTCGGGACTGTGGCCCGGGACCTGTCCGGCCCCCGGAAGGCGGGGTTGCGCTCCTCCAGGACCCCCGAGGTGCAGCTGGACAGGGAGCTTCTGTCCCGTGTGGTGTGGCTGCCCACGCTGCGGGCCGAACTGGGACTGGGGGCTGCCGCTGCCCACCCCTCATCCTCCAGGGCCTGGGAGGGCAATGAGGAAGGGTCCTGCCCGGCCTTGCCCTCCTGCGTGGCCGGCGGAGGGGCCGCCGAGGTGGGAAGAGGGGCCTGGGCAGCCAGACTCCCGGGGTCCTCCTCATCGTCGTGGTAGCCCCCGTCCTCCTCGCTCTCGGGCGGCCACTCGTCCTTGCCCATGATGCTGAGCACGTCGCCCAGCATGGACGGCCCCAGGTCGATGTGGAAGGACATGATGGACTCGGCGTGCTTCAGCCCGTACCTGGCCTTGGGCACCACGGGCAGGTCAGCCAGGTCCCCTAAGGCCTGCTCGTCCAGGAGGGGGTCGGGTGTGTGAGGGCCCCCTGCCCCGTTGCGAGGGGACAGCGCCTCTCCCGTACCCCGCTCCTCGTCGGCCCCCTTCTTCACAGGGCTGGACGACAGGCTCTTGGGCAGTTTGCTTGAGCCCTTCTCCGCGGCCTCCTTCTCGTTGAGCCGGGGCAGGGACATGGCGTTCTTGACGAAGAGGGCTGAGTCCCGCAGAGAGCCCAGCATGTCCCTCTGCTCCTGGTCACCTCGCGTCACCGACTGCGGCCGCTTGCTGCCCCTGAACTTGCGGGACAGGAGGCCGCGCTTGGAGGACGAGGCGGAGGCCTGCTCGTCCAGGGATTCGCCGTCCACCTCGCCGGCCTTGCTGTTGAGGAAGGAGGTGTCCTCGAAGGCGTCCCCCGCCCGGCCCATGTCATGGTGTGGCGGAAGTCGCCCAGAGGGGCGCTGATCATCTCGGCCGTGAGGTCCACGCGGGACCGGTGCTTCGAGTGCACGGAGCTGGACACCAGCTGCTTGAGGATGGGCATGGTGCCGCGGGGGGCGTGGGGGGCGGCCGGCCCTCCCAGGTCCTAGAGGCGAAGGTGGGCAGATGTGGAGTCCGGCAGTGGGGTCGGCGGGGGCTGCGTGCGACACCGGGGGGAATCACAGGGCTCGGTGGCCAGAGACGCTGGCGCGGGGCTGGGGCGGCGGTGCGCTCTGCTCGGTGGGCTCCACGCGGCGCCCGGGGTGGTGGCCCATGGCAGCCCGGCGTTTGTTTCCCTCTGGCTCTCGGGCTCCAAGCCGGGCGCTGTGCCGGGTATTGCTTTTCTTAGCTCCAGCTCTGTATTCTCTCTGTCACTGTAGAGAAATCCAACTGATTTTTGTATGTTGATCTGGAAACTGTAGTTTAATGAGTAGTTCCAGAATCCAGCTCCTGAGACTTCCAGTTGTAGGCTCAGCTTCTCCACTCAAACATCAGGAGAGAAGTTGTCAGGGGCCACTAATTGACCAGAGAGGTGAAGGAAGGGAGTGAATCCCTTTATCCTATGTTTTGTTTTGCCTTTCACCACAGAGCCATAACAAAAACAAAACCAAAAAACTGCAAGAAGTGGAGACCCCTCTGAGGGAGTTTGAGAAGTGCACACAGGTATACAAAAATATAAAATTGGTCCTCCAGGACATCCTCTGTGCTAGGAACTCAGGCAAGGACACCTGTGAGGTGAGACCCTCAGTTGTGTTGACAGTGTCCCTTCCTATTGCCCAGGGTGCTCACTCCCTGTCTCTTCTTCCTGCAAGACTTGGGGGCATGTTAGTCTGCTATAGGATAAGTAGCAAGTAGGAGTGAAGAGTTGGGAAAAGTACTATAATTGTCCAGGAATCTCTAGAGTCTGCACCCGAGTGACATGCTTTCTGTCCTGGATCATCTCTGTCTCCTCATCTCCTTGAACCCTGGGAAATGACAAAGTTGATGCCAACACAAATTGATCCTGGTGTCACCCCAGGACCTTTGGAGAGCTCCCAAGCCCCCTTCTCAATGCTAGTTCTTTGCTGAACCAGTACCTTTCTCTGTCATTTGCTTGAGATTCTGCTACCTCTGTCATTTCTTTCTCTGACAGCTGGAAAGGACAATAGGGACAGTGTACTGAGTGGGCAGTGGTAAGGAAGCCTTCTTGGACTCCACTCTGTATCTCAGGAAAGCTCGAGGATGGTAAGCTCTAGGGTGAGTGTCTTCACCTGTGGACATGGCTAAGGGACCCAGAGGCTGGGTCCTTCCTGGTGAGTGAAGTGAGGTCTTAGGTCTGTTAGGATCCCCCTTGAAGAGGGGATGAGAGTAGGTTCTCTTGCTGAGGAGGAGGAATTTCCTGTCCAGGGTCTGATCCTTGAAGGTGGCTGGGTCTCTAGAACCATGGAAACTCCATTCTAGGATTCTTCTGTGTGTCATACCCTCAGTCACTTCTCTCACTTCATGTTTAAAACAAACTCAATCTCTCCTTTCATAACACTCACTGGATGTCTGGGAGATTGAATCCACAGAGCAAAGAGGGTGTTCTACAGATGTTGCCAATGTCCAGGCCAGGCAGGAAGAAGGGAGGAGGGAAAGGAAGGGCAGAGCTCATCTCACAAACGAAGGGTAAAGCATGTCCCTCCCAGACTAAAGGTGTAAGATTAAGTCTCTAATCCCCACTTCTCAGTCCCACCATCAACTTGGATCTCAGCCGAGTGGCAGGGAAACCTCGGCCCACTGACCATGGGCCCCTAGGCAGGGATTCTTTCTGTTGGGACACATGGTATTTGGGGCTATAGTTACTCTTCTCCTTTGTTAGGCATTCCTCAGCCATGCAAGTGGTTGAATACTGGGGGCTGCCTCAAGAATCTCCTTCAGGAAGAAAAGATCACACTTAATTGCAGGGGTGCTGCCTAGCCTCTCACTGGTCTGTCCTGGGACTGTTCAGAAAGGAGTCATCCCACTGTAGGCCCACATCCACTTCCTGAGTGATCCATATCTCCTAGGGATGGACAACATTAAAAAAGAAAACACAAATGATACACACACCTTGCAAGTTGGCTCCAACTTATAGCAGTCCCATACACCAGAGAGTATTGTCAGAGCTGACACATAGCTGACTTTCCAATGGGTTTTCAGAGGCGGTAAACTCACAGGATGGATGGCGAAGAGATTGAGATTGTTCACAGCTTCAGTTTGCTCGGCTCCACAGTCAACACTCTTGGCACCAGTAGCCAGGAAATAAAAAAACGTATTGCGATGGGAAAGTCTGCGGTTAGGGACCTCTCCAAAATACTGAAGAGCAACAGTGTCTCTCTGGAGACTAAGGTCCGCCTGATATAGGCCATGGTTTTTGCAATCACTTGTTGTGCATCAGAGAGTTGGACAATGACTAGGGAGGATAGAAGGAGAATTGACACCTTTGAGCTGTGGTGCTGGAGAAGAATATTGAATGCACCATGGACTGCCAAGAAAACAAACAGATTCATCGTAGAGAGGATTAAGCCAGGCTGCTCCTTGGAGGCAAGGATTCTGGGGCTTCGTCTGACATACTTTGGACATGTTGTAAGGAGAGACAGGTCTTTGGAGAGGGACATCACGCTGGGTAGAGTGGAGGGACGGCGCAGGAGGGGAAGACCCTCTATGATGTGGATTGATTCAGTGACTGAGGTACTCGGGATGGGTTTGTCAGAGGCAATGAGATTGGCACAGGATAGAGCACGGTTTAGGGCTGTTGTACATAGGGTCGCTATGAGTCGCAAACGACTCGATGGCACATAACAACAACAACAACAAACTCACAGGAGGAGAGTACCCATCCTTCTCCAACAGAGAAGCTGGCAGATTCGAACTGCATTCTTTTCGGATAGCAGCACAAATTCTTACCACTAGGCCACCAGAAAACAGTTGTTGTTTGTTGTTATGTGCCATCAGGCTGCTTGCAACTTATAGAGACCCTATGTACAACAGCTCTGAACCCTGCTCTATCTTGAGCCATTTTCACTGTCTCCAACACACTGAGCCCCATTTCCACAGCCAATGAGTCAATCCATCTCATCCAGGGTCTTCCTTTCTTGCGTTGCTCCTCCACCCTTCCAAAAATGATGTCCTTCTTCAAGGACTGGTCCCTCCTGGCAACATACCTAAAGTATGAGATGGCCTTCAAAATCCTTGCTTCCAGGACAGGCATGTTTATTCTCTTAGCCGTCTATAGTATGTTCAATACTTGTCCCCAGCACCACAACTCAAGATATCAATTCTTCTACTATCATCCTTAGTCGTTAATTAGCTCTCTGATGCATAGCAAGTAATTGCAAAGACCATGGTCTGGATCAGGTGCACGTTAGTCTCTAGGCTGACGTTGTTGCTCTTCAGTACTCTAGAGAGGTCCCTGACAGCATACTTTCCCAATGCAATTTGTCTTTTGATTTCCTGGCTGCTGATACCAAGAGTTGTTCTCTTCTCTGTCAATCATGATGCTACCTATTGGCCAAGTGGCGAGAATCTTTGCTTTTTTGTTGTTGAGCTTCAATCCATATTGAAGGCTACAGTCCTTTACCTTCTGCAGCAAATGCCTCAGGTTCTCCTCAGTTTCAGCAAGAAAGGTTGTATCATCTGCATAACGTAGATTGTTGATGAGTCTTCCTCCAATCCTGATGTCACATTCTTCCTCATAAAGTTCAGGATGATCTGTTTCACACATAGATTGAAAAGATATGGAGATGGGATGCATCCCTAGTGTATACCTTTCCTGATTTTGAATCATGCAGTGTTTCCTTGCTCTATTTTGACCACTGTCTCTTGGTCCAAGCATATGCTTTGCATAAGCACAATCAAATGTTTTGGGATTCCCATTCTTCTCAATTTGTTGTGATTCACATAGTAAAATTCCTTCACATAGTCCGTGAAACACAGATATATAGTCCTCTGATACTCTCTGCCTTCAGCTAAGATCCATCTGACATTTGCTATAATGTCTCTACTGTCATGGCCTCTTATAACCTAATCTGCACATCTCGCAGTTCTCTACTGATGTGCTGTTCCAGTCATTTTTTTATCATTTTCAGCAAGATCTTGCTTGTGTATGATATTAATGATATTGTTTGATAATTTCCACACTCTTATGGATCACTTTTTAAATACATCTATGCACAGATTGTATAACATTTAATAATAAACTCACCTCCTCCTTTTTAAAAAATTTATTTTCATGATGAATCACCTTTTTTTGGGATAGGAATAAATATGGATCTCTTCCAGTCACTTGGCCAGATGGTTGTCCTCCTGGTCAGTGCATCCAGGGCTGCATCTGTTTGTTGAAATATGTCAATTGGTATGCCATCAATTCCTAGGGTCTTATTTTTTGTCAGTTCCTTCAGAGCAACTTGAACTTCCTCCTTCATCGCCATTACCATTGGTTCTTGGTCATATGTTGTTCTGTTTTATGAAATTCTTCTTTTCGGTATAGTGGCTCTGTGTACTCCTTCCATTTTCTTTTGATGATTTCTGGGTCATTGAACCTTCTACTCACAGCACCCTTAAATTAAGTATTGCAACTCAAGGCTTGAATTTGTTCTTCAGTTCTTTTAGCTTAGGAAATGCTGAGCAAGTTCATCCCCTTTGATTTTCTGATTCCAGCTCTTTGAACATTCCATTATAATACTAAATTCAATAATAAACTATAAATTTATTATCATAATAAAATATGTTTTGTCTTCCTGTACTGCCCTTTGAAATCTTCTGTTCTGCTCCTTAAAAACCAGAAGAAAGTAGAACTACCTAATTAAAGGTTTTATTGTCTGTGTCGGTTATAGCATCAGACAACCAGGTTTTTCTTCTGAGATCTTGCTAACGGGTGGGCTAGGGTTTTAGAATCCTGTAATTCCTTTGGTCCTCAAAGATGCAAAGAATTGGTGCTGAACTATCAACTGTTCTCTGTTCTCTGTGGCCTTCATCTCTAGAACACCCATGGGATGGCTGGGACCCCAAGTTTCTATTTGAGCTCACTCTTTTCTTTGCCCCTCCAGGTCCTCTCCACTTGCAGAAGGTTGATTCTGAGAACTCTTGACCCTAAGTCCCCCATGTACTTATCTCCATTTCAAAGTGGGATGGATTTGAAGCCCAATTCTGACATATGTACCACAAATTTGCAATGCAATAAATAGTCCAGACATGAGTCGTGATGAGGGGGTGAAATGGACATATGGGAAGACTGCAGCTGTGCAGACAATGGAATTGGGTGGTTATCTTGGTTCTTGAATTATCAAATGACACAGTTGATCTGATAGGGATGAACAAGACTATGGTCCTTAGGATGGGAAGTTGATACTTGTGAGTTGTGGTGTTGGAGAAGTGTACTGAGTATCCCAAGGCCTGCCAAAAGAAGAAATAGATGGGAAAAGTGCAGCCAGAGTGTTCCTTGGAGGTAAAGATGATGAAACTTCAGCTCATATACTTCGAACATTTGTTAGAAGAGGTTAGTCCTTGGAGAGGGTCATCATGTTTGAAAAGGTGGGGGGTCAGTGAAAGACAGGAAGAGTCTCAATCAGATATATTGATATAGTGAATACAGCAATGGGCTTGAGAGTATCAGAAATAATGATGAGGATGACACAGGATAGGACAGAGTTCAGATCTCTTGTTCATATGATTTCTCTACCACACGGTATCTGACAACAACAGAATCAGACCAGGAAGTTTTTGACGATTTTTCTTTGTTTGTTTTGTTCTACATTTCCACGCAGACTCTCTAGGATGTTCTGTGGTGATCTCTTTGACAACAGCCAGCAGTAGTAGCTAAAAACCACTGAGTTCTTCTGGTCTCAGGGTTGTTGGGGCTTGAGGCTTTTGTGGTCCAAGGGTCATTTTGACTAACCATTTGTGCATCTTCGCTTTTCCTCTTCTTCTTTGTTCCAGAGAGACAGAGGCCAACTGATGCACCATGGATGGCCAAGTACAAGTCTTTATGATCCTGGTCACAACCCACCAAACATTATGTTTTTGAACTATGCCATGACAATTATCCTTTTTGGTTTTCCTTCTTTAAGTTTCTGTCTCACATAGGTTCCACAGTTTGTAGGTTTTACTTTATAAAATATGTAAATACACTTAATATATTATGTATGCTGCAGCTTTCAATATGGATTGAAGCTCAACATCAAGAAGGCAAAGACTCTCACCACAGAGCCATTTGGCAGCATCATGATAGAGGAAGAAGAGATTGAGATTGTTAACAATTTCATCTTACTTGGTTCCACAATGAACATTCTTGGCACCAGCAGTCAGAAAATCAAAAGATTAATTATATTATGAAAATCTGCTATCAGGGACCTTTCCAGAATGTGTAAGAACAATGATGTCATTATGCACCTGATCCAGGACAGAATCTTTGCTATGCATCAGAGAGATGGACAGTGACTAAGGGTGATAGAAGAAGAATTGATGCCTTTGACTTGTGCTGGAGAAGAGAACTGAACAAGAGAACAAACAGGTCTATCTTGGAGAGGTTGAAACCAGGCTGCTCTTTGGAGGCAAGGATTTTTTTAAAAAATGACATTTCAAATATGAATTTCATTTTTCCATTAAGTTAAAATGCTATTGCTATCCCTATTCTTTAATAATGTCACACACACAGCTTTGGAAGATTCTGAAGTTTAGGCTTATCAGAGAGTGGAATCAGGAGAAAATTTCAAGTTAATGAGAGCAATGTTATAGCTGTAAGTGTGGATTGATTCAAGAGACTACACGTTTCTTCTGGAATCATCAAATCTAGCAGTGGGTTATGTTGTCTTTTACATAGTGTGTTGTAATGGAGCTTAAAACATTCAGTTGAGATTTGCTGTGCTTAAAACCATTCTTCCAGTCTCTGTGTCAATTCCTCTTATTAAGGTTCATCCTCTCTTTTGATGATCTCCTTTTTTATGACAGTTTGTATATTTTTTTTTAAATTGAAACAATTTTTTTATCATACCGGTTTACTTACAAAATTCATATACATTGTTTTTCACACCGGATCTTTCCCCTTTCCTTTACTCATTCCTCTGTATGGCTCTATGATTAACTACCTGCACCCTGACCCATATTCACCCCTCTGCTACTCCTTTTCTTGGGTCTTAGAAAGTATTTGTCCTTATGGAACTGAGTTAATTCAATTGGAATTATGCTCTCCAGTCTCTCCTAAGTTTGGCAGTGATTAACAACATTATTGCTCCTGCATGCTGAGTAGTATTCCATAATGTGAATGTACCATAATTTCTCAATCCGTTTGATTGTGGTTAGACATTTGGACTGTTTCCATGTTCTTGCAATGGTGAATAACACTGTTATAAACATTGGTGTACAAGTCTCTATATGTGCCTCAGTTCTCATTTTCTAGGGGTAAATTCCAAGCAGTGGAATAGTTGGATCATATAGAATTTCTATGTTCAGCTTTTTGAGGAAGTGCCAAACTGCCTTTCAGAATGTTTGTACCATTTTACAATCCCATCAATTATGTATGAGTTCCTCTCTCTCCACATCCTCTCCAACATTTATTGCTTACTGTCCTGTTAAACCCAGAGGCAAGAATTTTAAAGCTTAGTCACTGCGCATGTGGCCAGGAGGAACCAGTCCCTGGAGGAGAACATTATACTTGGAAGGGTGGAAGGACAGGAAGCACAGGAGAGGAAAACCCTGAACAAGATGGACTGACATAGTAACTGGAATAGCAAGAGCAGATGTGTTGGAGATAGTGAGACAGGCTCAAGATAGGGCAGGGCTCAGAGAATAGGGCCAGGGGGTCGCTATGAATTGCAGGCAACTCAATGACACATAGCAACAACAATGTCTAAATCAAAGGTGGCTGTGAATTGGATCTCTACTATCATGTCTTATTAGTTCTTGCTGGCATACAGCTTTATGAATGTATTGGCTTTTGTTCTACCATATTCATAAATTCATCAGAAAGCTTGAGGATGACACAGAATTGAGCAGGTTCTGTTTAGTGGTATATAGGGTCACTGTGAGTTGGAATCAAGTTTTTGGTACCTACAACCATATTCCTGTTTTAAACATTATCTTCTATTCAGACACAATAAGTAACTTAATTTCTAAACCTTTTAAATTGGCGCTTTGACTTTTCTTGGAAGAAGATCATGTGATATTAAGGTAACAGTCATGATGTTTATCTCAAATCTCTGTAATCTCTGTGTCTATATCTGATAAATCTGCTTAGAATGTTTTCAGTGTTAGCTCTGCATTCACAGCTTTTCATAAGGCATAGGCTGTGCTCACCAGGGGCAGGATGATAATAAGGATGGTGAGGGCCTTGGACTGGGACCATGGATTCCTGCTCTTATCTCAGATGGATGATCTGTGCAATCCTAGTCTGATCAGGCTGATCATTGGTGAATGGGCCAATATCAGATCCAGCGTTGGCATTCTGGCTCTTCACTTACCACTTTATGGTTAGTCTTCTGTCAATTAAAAGCTGGAGCAAGATTCAAACTCATAGACTACGGACCCATTGGGATGAGCTGTCCTCCAGCAGCAGCCTCCGCCTGAGGCTGATCTGGGAAGGAGGACAGGAGCTCTCTGCATACAAGCAAAGGCAAGGGAAGGAGGAAGTCCACATTATCCACTTACCTAGGACTTTAGAACCTAAACCAGTGTCTGATCCCACCCTGGAGGCCAATTCTTAGTGTCAGTGGGGTGGTTCCTCCAGGCATGGATGGGATAATACTGCCAGCTTCTGAGACACAAACTATTCTTGTTGGGTTTCCTTCTGTACAATCTCAGGAATATATAGATTTGGAAAGGAGAGAAAATTTCTGGTCCATGAGAAGAGTACATGGTTGGCTTCTACAGACTCTGAACTCTTATCCCAGTAGGTGAGTTCCTTCTTCCTGGGGGTCTTCAGAGGGGAGCAACAGTCTGGTTCTGATGTCACCCAAGACTTGGCCAATGCTCCTCATTTTGCTCATTACTTTGTCCTTTTGTGTTATGTTCACAGGATCTTATTTGTTCATGTGAAAACCATCCCTTGGTTGCTAATCTACCCAGCACTCAACCCTCATTTTATTTCAGAGCAGATACTCCATGTTCTTGTTGGATAAGTCATACATAAATTATCATTCGTCCTGCTGACGAAGCCCTATCTCTTCTCATGCTCCACTCCATGGGAAGCTGCTGGCCCCTTCTCCCCCCAACTTCCTGGATTGGAGAATAAAAACCTAAAAGAGTGGACCAAGGTAAGGAGCTATAGAGTAAGTAGAGGTGAGAATGCTGCCTGCTCACACCCTGCCCTCTCCATCTCAAACTCCAGGTTGAGCTCTGTCACCTCACTCAGACCCTTTTCTTCTTCTGCAGATGCTGTTGCTGCTGTTACCTGACCTTTCCCTGTCTGGGGGACTCTGTGCCTATGACCTTAGGTGAGCCTATCCCCTTCTAATGTTTGTCCTCTGAGTCCCTTTCCCTAGTCTCTAAAGACTAATTTTGGGGTGAGGTACAGTTATAATATGAGGGTAACCAAGGTCACCCCTGCACTTTGGGAGGGTCTGAACAGAGAAGGATAAGCCAGGCTCTGGTGAGGAAGCCTGGTTCTGCAATGACTCCTTTCTCTTCCTTAGCCCCAAGCCCAAAGACTGAGCTTAAGGGCATTGTGGGGGGACATGATGCTCCAGCTGGGAAGTGGCCATGGCAGGTCAGCCTGTGGCTTTACATATCACACGACGAGAAATGGAGATTCAAATGTGGGGGTTCCCTTATCGACCGTCAATGGGTTCTGACTGCTGCCCACTGTGTCCTTGGGTGAGTGACCTCATTTATTCCTGGTCTGTTCACTATGTTGGAACAGCTTGGTGGGTGCTGTGGAGATTCCTGAAGCTTGGGACCTTCAGGATGTGGTCTTCTGGGGCCACTCTCTTCTCATGAAGAGGCTCTTGATTCTGAGAGGCTGGTCTGCCTCTTCTACTATGATAAGCTGTGTACTGTTTCGGCCTCTGAGAAACATCTGGTCTTTCTCCTCTTTTACCCTGGAACAGATTTAAGCCTGAGGAAGTTCAAGTCCAAGTGGGACATGTACAACAATCAGAGAGTGACCACCTGCAGGTGACTAAGGTCATCTGTCATAAAAACTACCATCCAAAACAGAAAATAAGTGAGCATGATGTGGCACTGCTGAAACTGGTAGCCCCCGTGAAAATCTCTAAGCTGGTCAACCTGGTCTCCCTACCTCCAAGGGGCCTCAGTCTCTCCCCAGGCACAAAATGCTGGGTGACTGGATGGGGTTACACCACATTTAAAGGTAAGGATCTGAATGACTGGGTCAAATGGCATGGGAAGGTCTCCAGGGAGTCACACTGGGTAGGTTCCTTCTGGTGTTGAAGCTGGTATGGTATGCTGAACGGAAATTCTAGAAGACGTGGTAGAAGAAGAGCTCTGTCTTTAATTTGAACCAGACTCTAAGGGGCTCCTTGGTGTCTCTTGTTCTCTTGTATCTTGAGGGATGAGAATGGAAAATGAAGCTGAAAAGGAGTAAAGGACACATTCATAGTCTATGTTGGCCAATGACCCAAGTCCACTCCAATCAAGGGCACTGATCCTGCATTTCTGGGGAAACACTTGTTCTGATTTCCTCAGTAACAATTCCAGAGAGGTTAATGAAGCACCATCTTATCTTCTCTCCTGAACCCAAGGTCCAGGCACATACGTAGAATGTGTGGACTGGGTTGTATGTATAACCCCAAGATCTAAGAGGTGGAGGTGGAGAGAACTAAATATTAGTATGTGATCCAGACCTGACACCTGAAACTCCCAGTTACAGGTTAAATAAATGTGTGCACTTGGATATCAGAGGAGACACTACCAGGGTCACTGATGGACAGGAAAGAGGAATAAAACTACATCATCCTGTTCCCTTTCCCCCACCATGGTTCACTCAGCCTTTCCCTACAGAGCCACTGCCCAAACACAAAAACCTGCAAGAAGTGGAGATCCCTCTGGTGGAGATTCAGAAGTGCAGGCTTTTATACAAAAACTTATATAAACCACGGGACATAAAGAAAGACATGATCTGTGCTGGGTCTGCAGGCAAAGACTCCTGCCAGGTAAGATCCCGAGTCTTGCTTGTCCTCTATTCATGCCCCTTCCTGCTGAAAAGAACACTCACTCTCCATGTCTTCTCCCCACAGGGTGACTCTGGAGGGCCCCTAGTGTGTAAATGGAAGGGCTCCTGGGTCCAGTTAGGAGTGGTGAATGGAGGAGAATACTGTGTTTGTCCAGGAATCCCTGGAGTCTATACTAACGTGGCATATCACTTGTCCTGGATCCTTTCTCATATTCCTTCATCTGTGTGAACCCTGGGAGGTGACAAGGATGCTGCCAGCACTGGTAGACATTCCAGGATCATTGAGACTACCATTGCCACCTCTCTATTGCTAACTCTTTATTGAACTCAAGCACTCCTCCATTTCCTAGTCGAGATTCTACTGACCTTGCCACCTCTGTCCCTTCTCTGGCATCAAGAATGGTGCCCTACAAACTCTGATGACCTCCCAGATGTTGGACAAGCATGCAGAAATCTTCCTATACCACTGCCTCTTCCACCCTCTGTATCTCAATAAAGCTCATGAACAGCAACTGGTGATCTGAGTGTCCTTACCTGTGGGCATGATCAAGAGAGTTAGAAGCATGGGGATTCCTGGTAGGAAACCCAGGTGATGGAAAATGGAGTTGGGAACTCGGTCAACATGAACACTTGGGGCCAGAAAATGAGGTTGTTCTTGGTGGTGATGGAGAATGATGGGACCATTCAGAGGGATGGATTCAGAGGGATCAGCATCATTATCCTCATCCTTCCCCCCGACTCCCTGCCCCAATCTCATCTCTTCTCTCACTTACCCTGCCAACACTTGCATTCTCTAGGCTCTTAGAGCATCTTGGAAAGAAGAACCTGCACTCAGTGTTGCCAATCTTGCCTGGAGTTGGATGTTAGTTCTCTCATCTTATCCTGGCCAGAATCCCTCCTGAGCTATGTGGCCCCAGTTTTGGCCATAATGCACCTGATGGACTCTGACAAATGGAGTTTAGATATGGAGTTTGGACAACATGTGGTCTCTTGTTTCTTCTCATCTTTTTGACACTGAGTCCTAAGCTGGGTAGAGTGGGGCAGTGGATGTTGTACAAGGTAGCAGAGTTTGCTTCTTAAAAGGGACCCTCAAACACCAAGGTCAGCTACTTCCCTTCCCCAAGGCTCAGCAAGAACCTCTGCTTTCCTCCTTAAAATTGAGGCCAAGTTCTGTCTGATGCCATATTTCTTTCTTAAAGAGTTGGGGGAAAATAATGTCTTCCCCCCTCCCAACACAAAAGCAATTTTCATTGTTATTTGAAATTAATGAAGATATAAATTTTGTGGCCTTATTTTTTTATAGTCTGGGTATTTTTTTTTCTCTTTCCTTTTTATTTATTTTCTCCTTTAATCTCTCTTTTTTTAAAAATTATGATTACACTATTTTATTTACAAAATTAGAATTCATTGTTTTCCAGAATAGATTCTTCCAATTTCCCTCACCCTCCCACCCATCAAATTGTAAAACCCCATCATTAATCCCCTCCTCCCCCTGCACATCTTCACCCATCTGGTTCCACCACCACCCCCGAATCCTTATACTCACTCTACAATAATGGTTTTATACAATATTTGTCCTTGTGGGATTGAGTTAGTTCACTCAGCATAATGCTCTCCAGTGCCTCCCAAGCTAGGTAATAATTTACAAAATCGTTGCTCCTGCTTGCTGTGTAGTATTCCATTGTGTGAATGTACCATAATTTCTCAATCCATTTATTTGTGGTTGGACATATGGGCTGTTTCCATGTTTTTGTGATGGTGAATAACGTTGCTATGAACATTGGTGTACAAGTGTCCGTTTGTACGTCAGTTCCCATTTTCTCAGGGAAAATTCCAAATAGTGGAATAGCTGAGTCATATGGAATGTCTATGTTCAGTTTTTTGAGGAAGCACCAAACTGTCTTCCAGAATGGTAGCACCATTTTACAATCCCATCAACAATGTATAAGACTTCCTTTCTCACCACATCCTCTCCAACATTTATTACTTGCTGCCCTGTTAAACTTTGCCACTGTTACTGGAGTGAGATGGTACCTCACTGAGATTTTGATTTGTATCTCTCTTATTGCCAGTGATTTTGAGCATTTCTTCATGTGTCTGTTGGCCCTTTGAATAGCTTCCTCTGTGAAAATTGTTTCTAGGTCTGGGGCAAAATTTCTATCTCTATTCCATTTCCCTGCTGAGTCAGGAGCAATGTGAAGGTTCTCTGTATGCACAGGTGTCTGTTACCAGTAACACTCAGGAGAGAGTCCCTGGTGTAGAATGCTAAAAAGCAACAATGTCAAAAAGTAAGAAGCACACAATCCAGGCCATCATTTTTGCAATCACATGCTATGTATTTGAGAACTGGACAATGACCAAGGGTGAGAGAAGAAGAATCAATGTCTTTGAGCTGTGGTACTGAATAAAGGCATTGATTGCCAAGAGAACAAACAGGGCTGTCTTGGTGGAAGTGAAACCAATTTACTCCCTGGAGGCAAGGATTTTGAAGCTCCATTTCACATACTTGCACATGTTTCCAGAAGGGACCAGTTCTTGGAGAAGGATATCATTCTTGGAAAGCTGAAGGGATAGTGCAGGAGATGGAAATCCTGGACGACGATAGACTGAGACAGTAACTGGGATAATGGGAGTGGGCATGTTGGAGGCAGTGAGATTGGCTCAGGATAGGACAGGGTTGCTAGTTATTCTGCGTAGGGTCTCTATGAGTTGCAGTTGACTCGATGGAAAAAAAAATTCTCCCAGAAAACACTCCTAGACTCTGCGTACAAGTGTTGGACTAGCAATTTTTAGTCAGCATCAAATTCTTCCGGTGGTTTCTCAAAGTTCTCTCAGATGCAAGAAATGTAACCAAAACCAATGGTGATACTGGTGAGTGTAGGAGCTTCATCCACCATGACTGAACTGAGAGTCCAGGGCTCTTCTCTAAAGCTTATTTTACCATTCTGCTTTCTTACCTTTCCTTAAAAGAATATTGGTCCCTAATGGTGAGGTTAGATCAGGTATGGCAAGATTCAGAGCCATTGCTCATAGGACCACTATGAGTTGTCATTGACTAAACAACACATAACAACAACAAATGATGTCAAGGCCATGAAATAACATCTCAGTATGTGGTCCTTGGACCTGTAACCAGAGTCTTCTCAAAGCTGAACAAAGCCAGGGCTGTGTTGGCCCAACTTGGACCAAAGAGAATGTATAAAATACATTATCCTTGAACAAGAAACATTTCCCCATTTAGTTACTTACATCTCTTATTGCTTTCTTGCAGTAGTGGTTTTTCTTTTGTAATTGAAATGTATTTTATTAACCTTTATCAAAAGTTTACAGAAAACTTGGGCTTCCATTCATTCATTGTTGTACGTTTTCCTTCCTACACCCTCCCCCAGTTCCTTTTCTCTTTAAAAAGTTTCTTTCAATATTGCATAATTTCCTCCCTTCCCCTGCCCCCCAGTACAATTTGCTATGTACCTCTTATTCTGGACTGTTGTCATGCAAATAATACCTAATCATATGTTCCCTTTAAACAGTTCTTTCCCTCATACGTTTCAATGTAGTGTTCATTATTTATTCCCTCTTTTCTTAGTTTTCCCCCAGCCTCCTTGTCAGTCTTGTTTTATAACTGTGGCATTATACAATATTTGTCCTTTTGTGACTGAGATATTTCACTTAGCATAATGTTTTCCAGGGTTACCACTTTTGTATATTATTTTATGAGTTCCTTGCTTTTCAGTGCTGCATAGTATTTCACTGTGTGAATATAACTCAACTTCTCTATCCATTCATTTGTTGATGGGCATTTGGGTTACTGCCATCTCTTTCCTATTGTGAACAATGCAGCAAGGTAATATAAATGTGCATATATCTGTTTGGTGGCAGTTCTGGTTTCTTTTTAAAAAATTAATTAATTTTAATGAAAATTTATACAATGACTTTGGATTTCCATTAATTCATTGTTGCACTTTTCTCCCTGCCCACCCCTCCCCCCATTATACTCTTCTCTTTGAAAAGGAAAAGAAAAATTCTTTCATTGTTTTACAATCCCTCCACCCAGGTCCACTCCCCTATGCAGCCTTCATTCTGGACTCCTGTCATGACAAAAATACCTAATCAAATATCCCTTTTAAACAGTTTTCTCCCTCATCTTTTTCAATGCAGTATACATTATTTATCCCTTCTTTCTCAATCTTCCCCAACCCCAATATCAGTTCTATTTTACAACAGTGGCACCATGCAGTATTGTCCTTTTATGACTGAGATATTTCACTCAGCATAATGTCTTCCAGGATCACCCATTTTGAATAATATCTCCTGAGTTTCTTGTTTTTCAATGCAGTGTAGTATTCCATTGTGTGAATATACCAGAGCTTCTCTATCCATTCATTTGTTGATGGGCACTTAAGTTGTTTCCAACTCCTTGCTATTGTGAACAAAGCTGCGATGAACATGGGTGTGAAGTTCTGGTTTCTTTAACTCATATTTCCAGTAGTGCGATTGCTGGGTCAAATGGTATTTCTATTTGCAACTTTTTGAGAAAGCACTGTACCACCTTCCACAGTGGTTGCACCATTTTACACTCCCACCAACAGTGAATAAGGTTTCAAATTTCTCCACAACCTTGCCAGCATTTGTTGTTTGATGTTTTGTTGAACTTTGCTATCGTTACTGGGGTGAGATGGTATCTCATAGTTGCTTTGATTTGCGTCTGTCTCTCTTGGAGTTAGAAATTTTTAACATTTCTTCACGTTTTTGTTCACCATCTGAATGTCTTCTTTGGTGAAGTGTCAGTTCCTATCCCATGCTCATTTTGCGATTGGGTTGTTTATCTTATTGAGGTGCTAGAGTATTCTATAAACTCTAGAAAGAAGTCCTTACATTATGTCATTACCAAATATTTTTTCCCAGTCTGTGGCTTTCCTTTTTACCCTTTTGGAGAAGTTTTTGTAATGTGTATAGAGATTTGATTCTTAGAAGGTCCCATCCATCTATTTTATTCTCTCCTGCTTGTAGGTTTTTCAGGAGACTGTTCATGTTGTGGACTAGGTCTTCTAGAGTTCTTCCAAGCTTTTCTCTGATGAAGTTTATAGTCCTTAATTTTACTCCTAAATCCACTTTGAGTTAGTTTTTTATGTGGTGTGAGGTATGGTCTTGCTTGAGTTTTCTACAGATAGTTTTCCAATTTTGCCAACACCATTTGTTAAAGAGGCTGTCATTTCTCCACTTAACTGA